AATATCCTCTTAACTATTCTGTGAGATGTCTGTCACCATGTGAAGCAGAACGTGGACTGTACCCGTTCTACTTTTAATAATGCATTCGTAAATTCTGCACTGTCTTTGGAATATTTTATACCATTTATATAAAACTGTTTGTTAACCACAATACCAAACAGTTTCTGCAAGACAACCTCCGAAAACTTTAAGAGTAGTCCTGGACGAAGCGGTCAAATGAGTTGAGGAGAAAACCCAACTGTGGACACATTCATTCTCTTACATAGGTTTACCTTATTGTTTGAAACTGTGGCCACGTTTAACAGGAACATCTGACATAACAACGCAATACAGAATATATATATAACATTGTGTGTGATAGGAAATGAGGAAGAGCTAAGTAGGCCCACATTAAACATGGTTACAACCCTCTCAAAGCTCCCGGTGTCTAATAAGACACGATGACTGATGGGACTCAAGGAGGCATTAGGTCCTTCTCGTTGTAGTCAGCACAATAATGGGAGTAATGGCAAAAGGAGGAGGAGGAGGAGGAGGAGGAGATAATGGGTGAGACGAAGAGTATGAATGTTCAAAGTTACATTGCAGTTCACCACATTGTCACAAAAACGCCCAGAAGGTTAAAGGGAGGTTTTACTTTGCCGGTGTGAGATGACGCTGATCAGATAAAAGCTTATCTTCGCATGTACGTCTCAAAGTCCTATAGAGCAACACTCTGACTGATAAAAGAGTTCAATAGCTTACTACATGCAAACACTCATGTCACTGGACTTCGAACCAATAGTTTCTTCAATGTGCATTTGTACGACTCAAACAGACGAGCGTTGAGGCAGGCGCTTCAATCTGGAAACACGTGCTCATACATTTATCAGGCCCAAAGTGTTGTAGGACATTTGACACCCCTCTCCTTCTGTATTAACCCTTTTAAATACTGTGAAAAGGATTATTAAAATACAACAATACTGACTTATTTTAAGGAGAACTGGTCACTGCAGCAACCTAAAGCATATTTAGACGGATACAGAAATAATCGATTACACAAATAAAAGGAAAGTAAGCAGCTGACAACCTCTTGCTTGACAGATTGTTTGCAGTTTTCTGTACATTATAGTCATAATTAGTGTTTTCTACACTATTACCACAGTCCCTGCAGTCAGCTGGAAGAAGTCATGATTACCACCAATGCTTAAAAGATTAGACAAGTCAAGTGGTAATTCTCTAAACAGAAAATTAACAGATTACAATTTAGATAAGCGGATATTTGTCTGTCAACTGTCAGACGACCGAAAACGACAAGTTAACAAGTTACAACGATAATTAATCACTTTTAATCAACGTATTTTAACATGCAGACACACCTAACAAGTGGCTCCACACATACAGTCACGTTTAATATGAAATACTACACATCAGCAGTTCAGTGGATGCAGCTTTAACTCAACAACGTGGACAGCGTCGTGACAACACGGCATGAAATGTCACAACGACCACAGCTTAAACATCGATTTAAAAAGAAAGACAACACGTGATCACAGTAAGGTCACTTGCCTCGTCGGTGTGCTGCTTGGCCTCGTCGGTTTACAGATTTTAACAAAGAGAGAAAGAAGTGTTCACGCCTAAAGTTAGCAGTGTCTGAGAGCCGCAGACTTCAATGAACTCCAGTAACCTTTACGTCCGATGAGTGGTACGACAGCATTACGCAGGCCAACTTGCAGCCAGCTGACTTGCAGCCCCGATAGCAGTTTATATTTAATGTTCAATACAGATGAACCCAGCCACCTCACCCGACTGACTTTCGCAGCCTGTAGAAATCAAAACAAAACAACGCACAAGTGGACGAGTGGACGCATTTCGCGCTGCGTGGCTAACGTCAAAAAGAAATGCTATATAACGAAGCAGCCACCGAGCACAAGCACCTTGAGTCCAAACCAGAGGCTGGGCTCATCGGTTCTCACGTCAGCTCAAGTGGTTGGAGCTCAAAAAGTTATAAAAACACACACACAAACCACAGATAACACCACACACACACACATTATCTGTAACACAGCCAACTTGAGCTGTGCTGCTCTGCTAACGGCGAGCTAATGCTAGTTAGCCCGGCTTAGCTCACCTGAAAATGATTCACTTGAGAGTCGAGAGGGTTTTTGTTGAGCTCTTTCTGCTTCCTCCCACTGCTTTCTGGCCGTGAAACAACTCTGATAAGCGGGCAGCTCCTTCGCACTTCGTCTGGTTGCTGAAACGTGATGAAAATGCTTTGAGCTAATGCGCTATTGTTGGTCGGTTAAAGCTCCACATTTCCATCTGAAGGTAGCGGGTCCTACATCCGGTCCGGCCCCTCATTCATTCTCACATAATCATTATTAAAACAGCAAACACAGGTACTGCAGGTTAAAGTACAGGTAAAAATAGTATGAATATATATATATATATTTTGTTTGTTGCTGATTCCCTCTTTTTTTACAGCATTTTTCCATTTTCTGTCATTTATTATGATGAGCAACCTGATTAAGTTATATATATTATGGTTATTGGCTATGTTTGAATCTTTTTAACTTAAATCACCCCTGCCTTAAATACACTACATTTCCCAAAAGAGAATTATAAATTCACTCTGCATCTACATAGTAAACTTCACTATGTTAAGGAATATATTATCAACATCCACTTTGCCACTGACACATATTTCATGCAGTACTTTCATCCACTGAGTCTTAGCCTCTACCCATGAATTTTTGTTCAAAACTGTACAATGGTGAACACAATAACTGCAATAAATTTGGGTGAAATGGGTGATTTGGTTAAATTTTGAGCAGATTATTTCCTGTTTAGTGAACTTTTTCTGTCTGTATTTTAAAAAATAATCATTTTTAACAAGCACACAGACTTAATAGGCTTTTTTTTGGTGACAAATTCAGTGTTTTCTTCTCCCTGACGCTTGGCTATTGTTCTATTAGACAATTTACTTTACATTTCTTCACAGAAATGAACGAAATGCTGATATAAAGGCCTACTGTGTGTATTTTTTAAGTTTTCTTACACCCCTTGAAATCAAGAAGGCCTCGCAACCCCTCCATGAAGCCTTGCCGACTCCTACTGGGGATCCTGACCCCCGCTTCTTGATTTCATATTTTATGTGTATTTTATACACAGAACAACTGATAAACTATACAGTGAACACAATAACTGCAGGAAGTTTGTGTAAAACGAGATTTGGATGAATTTGAAATTGAATATTTTTTTAAATAACAATTTTATTTAGTTTTCTTCACAAAAAATAATGAAATGCTGAGATATAGGCCTACTGGGCATTTTACAAACAAGTTTTCTCATACGCCTTAAAATCAAGAAGGCCTTGCGACCTCCTGTGAAGCTTTGGCGACCCCTAGTGGGGGCCAGGACCCCCAGGTTGGGAACCACTGAATTAGAATACATATTTTCATAGAGCAGAATATTGCTTGAATTTCTCTCATATGTTTAAAAAAAGTTTTAATAGAAAGTATCCCTTTGTCCCAGAAAGAGAAATTAGATATCCAGTATCCAAAACATGTGAAATATAAATTGCATTTTATCCACAAGTAACATTTTATGTATTATCTGAAACAAAATAACAGCCTATATTGGGTATTGACAGCCACCTAAAACCTCTGGTTTACAGTTTGTTTTGTTCTACTACAACAATGAAAATCACATTATTCTACAAATATTTAGCCTTTAATTACACTTTTTATTTAACACCCAATATCTTGAATCCATTTGTCCTGACCTTACATGTCTTATGTTGCATAAAGCATACAATTCCCCCATTAAATCTCAACCTTACACAGTCATGTCATTAAAGTTATTTCATTCCCTGAATAGACGTTGCATGTTTGATAAACTTTAGACCTCTTTAGCCCTCTGCTGGTGTTTCTGCATAGCTGCAGCATAACTTGGAAGTGAGACAAGCTGGAGGATCAGAAGTACAAGTACGCCTTGTGGCTTTTTGTGTAACAAATCTGGTATCTCCGTTGATAACATATGGCATTTTGTCTCGCTGAAATACGAGGATGAGACACGAACCAGTCACAATAATAAATTCATCCAATGTCTTTCTCAAAGTAACCTGTAGTTTCAGGTTACAGTATAGATGGTGTCCTCCTAACTTTGATCAGGCTACTGTATCCAGGTTGCACTCGGGCAGACATATTGGCCGCTCTGGTTATTTGGGTTAATACTGGCTATTCACACTGTGGATTAGTGTTGGCAAAACAGAGCCGTCACCTGGCCCTAATCACACAATATAGTAAACACATGGCTGCCAACTTGTTTGCATTTCTTCATTTCTTGCTTTTATGTTCTTTCAAATTGAAAGCACATAGACTGATTTCTCCACCTCTCCTCTTTGCAAGAATAAAATCTCTAAACAAATATTGACAAATGATTCAGGTTAAGTTTCATTTTGATCCCATGGACCAGTTTTTCCACCTTTTTTCCCTTTGTCATCCTGAACTTTTATCAGAGGATTATAAGTATGTATTTACAGAAGAGCTGTCATTTGTATGCAGACGTGGTAAAATGACCTCAGGGAACAATTAACTCCCTCATGTGAACACTTTGTACAACAGTGAGTCTAGTATCCTCCTTTACCAAATAGACCTAAAAGAACAAACAAAGGCATCAGTAAAAAGAAATATTTACACTTTTTATTACATTTATTAAATAAAATCAAAACACAGTTTCAGTAAAAGATTCATACTTTATTATTTCTGTTTGTACATTGCTTTATATTAGAGCAGCAGCTCAAGGTTTGGCACTTGACTTTCTAACTATTATATGTGACGATCAGCTATTACATTGGTGCACAAAAACATTCACAACCAATGTTTCTCCTCCTAACCCTGTTAAGGCTAATTATATAGCATGGTCTCTCTTACTCTCTCTTGAGATATGACAACTGTTAAAAATGAATACAATGATTATTAGTAAATATATTAAAGATTATCTGTGCAAATACCTCAATTTGAGATGTGACATGGATCTAACATGTAATACATCTGCTAGTTCACGAAAGCAATGCATAATTAAAAAAGGAGGTGAAAAACATTTCAGGAAATTGATTAAAAGAACAATTTTTAGACAATTATCATTTAAGTAACAATTTATTTTAAGCTAAACAACAAACTGGGCTAATGGCTTTGTATAGACTACATATAAATTGCATTGCATAAGATGTTTGACATTTTTTGGGAGTTACACATCTTATAGCACTTATAATGCATCCAATGTGCATGTATAAGGTGGTAACACTTAACTGAAAGTGCATGATAAAACACCCAAGTACATTATAAGCACATTGCATGCATTCATACCGTTTTATTATAACCATTTATCAGCAAACTCTCAATGCAATAAAATGTTGTGAATCTCACATTATCAAAAATGTATGTGTATTCTTACCAGCAGCTGTTCAAGCCGTTATGTGCTACTTCTGGCCTAACACATTATGTTTTGATTATATTATAGATATATTAATGTGCTTATAATGCCTTGTGAGCAACACACTTCAAGTACGTGTTTTTACCATCATAGCCTAAACGAGTAGAGGCATGGTCATGCATCACTAAGTTTGTGTATTTTCTATTCAGCTAATTTGGGATTAATTTGAATCATTTTAACCAATGTTAAGTAGGATTCAAGTACACTTACACTATCTTTAAACCTAAACATAGTTGACTAATGTCCTCCTTTTCTTTTAAGGGGCAAATGATGTCCACACAGACCATAGTACAGACACATATGGCAGTGATTCCAGTATGTTTGAGCAGAATGTACATAGAACAAATCCTGCTGACCCCTCTCATTAAAACATAGTTCATAACTCCCTCAGAGATTTCTGTAAGGCAGAGACACGTGACAAGTCTTTGATGTGAAAATCCTACATGTGTCTGGTCGTCTGCCCTGATTTGAAGCTGATTTGTACCAGCACGATGTGAATGTTCACAAAAAGGTTACCACCTTCAGTGTGAAGACTCCAAAACCTTTGCTTCGATTACAATGGCAGGATTCTCGATGTCAGCTTTGCTCTGAACCATCCTCAGCTCCAGTTGTGCAGGACTGGGTCTTTTCCCGGGGCCAGCCATCTCTGAAGAAGAGGAGGGAAGAAGAGCAGTTGAAAGAAAAACAACAGGTTTTCACTGTTTAAACAAAGTGGTCTAAGGGTAATTCTTGTCTCTGGTGAAGGCTGAGGCTGTTAATCATCTTGTGGTGTTACTTGTGTGACTTTTGTGTATTTCTTACTAGAAAAACCAAATGTGCAAACAATGTAGAGTAATGTAATCAACTAAGATGTGTGTCTTGACAATTGTTGAGATAATGCACACTACTGGTTGACATATTACGACTGATTGTTTAAGATTATGTCCAGTAAATGTCTTGAAGACAAAATAAAGAGACAACATGACAAACAGAAGTCAATAAACACACACAAACCCTACCATTGGCATAAGTAATGGTCCTCTTAATGACATGGTGCATAACTGAGACGGTTTTTTCACAGGCAGCCTGAGGAAAACAGAAGAGAGTTGGGATTCATTTATTACAGAGTGACATTACAGATTACATCAGTTAAGAGTCAGTTAAGAGTGTTACTGACCTTCAGGTCTTTGGGGTGATGGTGAGTCCAAGCTAGCAACAGGGCAGCAAACAGGTCTCCTGTCCCCACAAATACAGCATCCACTTTGGGGATGTCCATGCAGATTTTCTGGCTAGTGCTGGTCCCATCTGGTTTCACTACAGTGAGGACACACACCATTAATCACTATTGTGTAGTTTGGTCCTTTTCCACACATGACTGGCAATAACTGATACAAAAGTTCTTCCACCAGAAATGAGAGAGAGTTTAAATCCCCAAATATCTTCAAAGCAGCAGTAAAAAGACATTCTGTCTGTAGAAAGTTGGTCTGGTAGTTTACCTATTTTTTGGCTCCCAAGGGCCACCAAGAACTGGTCCCCATGTTTCGAGGGCAGGTCTGTACTAGTGAGGACCACGGTCTCTGGACCCATTTTATGAAGCAAGTCCATCACCTGCACAGTAAGAGGGGTCCCATTTACTCAAGCTTTGTATTTCTTGGTGTCATAAACTAAATTACGTACAGCACAATGAGAAATATTCAAGACACTCACCTTGAAAGCGTCGTCCTCTGTGTTGATTTTCCTCCCAGTTAATAGCCTGTGTAAAAGCGGGCAGTAGTCCCATTTGTTTCAATGAGAGAAAACACATAACGTACAGACATTTATTCAAGAGGATTTTTATACACATTATCAGGTGCAACAACTAATGTCCCACTATTTACCTGCATCGGATAATGATCCATGACTCATCTTATATTCTCCAAATTAGTATCATCCCCTAATTCACTTTTACAGGCTGCCTTTTATGGATGCTTTTCAAATTATGTTGTATAGTGCACTATTAATTCTGTTTATGATGATTGGAAGTGCACTCACTCTGCTTCAAACTGGTTGGGGGTGAGGATGTCAGCCACAGGCACCACTTTGTCCCTGTAGATTGGCAGCAGGTTCTCTGGAACGTACTGAAACAGAGAACAGAGACTTTTATTCTATGTTTTTTTTAACCTGGTTTTCATGCAGTTATAAAGAGACACCTAGTTTCTCAAAATGATAGATTTTCCACAGCGAAAACAAATAATTACGTTAGGAAATAACGATGCAAGATTCCCCTTCCACAATTAGTACAGACTAAATACATATATACATTACATTATTACATTAGTAAAAGATTGAAAACACTGCAGAGCACTGATTGCTCACATGACGCGGGACATCCTGTATAAACCCTGCATGTTTAAATAACCAAGCTACCATCGATTGTGACCACAGTTTTTTTATTACCTCAGAAGTGGCAGCCCTCAAAACCCCGCCGTGGTCAACTGACACAGTGCAGACGTATCAAGAACATTACCCCTTCATATCGTCTGTTATAAGAGCAGCAGCTCCTTTTTATCGTGTGTGTAGTTTTGTGTGGTGTGAAAGAGAGAGAGCAGCAAAGTTTTCAGTCTGGCAGTAAATGTACAGAGTTGGTTACAGTTTGTAAGTGCATAAAAGTTGCAGCTTTTCAAGACAGAAGCTTCCTGTTGTTTCCAAACTGTGTTGCTCTGAAAATCAGCTTTTTCTACTTTGAGGGGGGGTACAATCCAAAGTATTATCTACAGCGTAAAATGAAGTCGAGGTACCAAAAGTGAGTAGAGTCAAGTCGTACCATGTAGTGGAAATACAGATTTATACAGTAAATCCTCAACAGCTGTATAGTGCTTACCATAGCACCTTGGTCTCCCATCACAGGATCACAAACTGTGGAAAAGAAAACACAAAATGATTTTGGACTTTGATTTTGGAAATTGGCACTGCTGAGAAGCTTGAAAAAATTGACAGATTATTAGAATAGTTGTCTGATATGTTTTTGTCCATCGAATCGATTCACCAGCTACTCTAATATTAGTTATTCCGATTTGATACGTGAAGAATGTAACAGTGCACACTCACCATATACCAAGCTGGGATTGGCCTTCTTCAGCTCCTGAATGATGTCAACCACCATCTCCAGAAAGGACGTGTCCCTGCTGTACCCTTGTGGATGAAAGCGTAAAGACATTGAATTTCCCTCGGGATAAATAAAGTATCTGTCTGTCTGTGTCTTCTTGTCTGCTAGTATTCATAAGATAAGATAATAAGATAAGATGTTCTTTATTGATCCCCTTAGAGAAAATTCAAGAAATCCAGGTACACATTCTGGTGTCGAACATCAAAGACATGCCCCTTCACTCTCTTCACTGTGGCTTGCATAATTTCTGTCCTACTGAGGTGCTGTTGCAGGAGCAGTATCTCTTCTAATAACCAAAGCTGCCATGCTCAAGCTCCATGCTACCATGTTTAACTTCATATTCATCTCATCTGCCTTCCCCAGATTTCCCCACTCACATGCTGCTTGGACTCACCTGTGAGGGGATGTAGTCATAGTGGTTCCCTTATTGAGCTTTAATGCCCTCATATAGCACATTTAGCTCTTTGGCTGTTCAGTACTTGCCATTTCAGGTAGGGCATAACCTAGGATTAAGGAGGAGGAATGGAGAATAATTTAAATGAATTTTAAAGAAGACACTGGACTTGGGAGTTGGAAAACAAACAATCAGAAGATCCTGTAATAACTGGCAATGCTGTGTATTGATCTAAAGAATACATAAGGACATGTTTTTCTCTCTATTACCCCCTCACTCCCCCTGCGTTGAGGTCCCTCTCCTCTTCTGTGTGGGCACTCCATGGCCAAATGGGGCCTCCACACTAACTTAAAGGGATGCCTGTCTATCCTGGCTGCCAGATTCGTCCCTTTTCTTGTTCCCCTTTTAACCATTAACCTAGAAATAAACCCTCTTGAAGCTGTTCCTGGCTGCAAATGATTTGGACAGAGAACGGACACACAACCACCACTTTGAATGTTCTTCAAGCTGTGAGCACAGATATCACACGGGACTCCAAACTTGACCCTGAGCCGAGAGAGAGGGAAACCGTCTGCAGTGCAGGACTTAACAGAAAGTCGAGATAAACAGTAGAGGCATGTGCTTAGGTACTCAGGGGAAAGTGTACAATTAATGCCTCCTTAAAGTGAGAAATGTCTGAATATTTACAATTGTTAATAACACGGATATGATATAATACTATAAGTAGGGATACAGTCTACGTTCTCCATTGCTCCACACTGAACCAGTTTCCCTCACAGAAGAGAAGATGTTTATATTTGATTGGGAGCGCTTTCGAGCCAATGTCTCCCTTTGCCCTGTGGTGAAAGCATTCTTCACATAACTTAGCGCCACGAAGCCCCGATTATAATCCGTTCTCTACGCATGGTGTTCAGCCAACAACTTAAACTGGAGATTAAGTTTTATGTTTTGTTTTCCTTTGATAGAGCAACGTTGCACGACATGACTAGAATGAAGTTAACTGTGGGATTAATGAGGTGAGTTGCTCGATTCATTTATTTAAAATAAAAAAGATTAACATGCAGAGTAAACATTTCGGCTGTCATCAACCTCTATATTATCCTCCATATCCTTCCTGCCAACAGCGCTCAAGATCAAGGAATGTCCTGTTGTCCAGGGATCAATGGAAATACACCTGGGACACAAAAACTACAATGTCGGGACATTGTGGACTTATGGATCATAGGAATATATGTCATTATAGTTGTAGCTCTATGCTATGGTCACACGTGTGCATAGCACACAAATCAATCATAGAAGAGACGATGTATTTGCCAAATTCCTTGCAATGTTTAACGACTTTTCAGACGTCTTAGTGACTTATTTCTAAAAAGAGACACCTGCGCTTATTTCAGACTGGTCAGGGAAAAGGTGGAAGAAATATATTAAATTATTACATTGTAATTTTCTGTGCATGCTGCTCAGAGTAACAGTGCTGGGTCTCTCCCCTCCTCTTGTATGCCCGTGGTGCAGGGAAGTTGGTAGGTGGTGGGGGACGTTTGACCTTCGATCTCTGGATTTAGGAGTTCCTGTGGCATTATAATGATAAATGTTTGTTTGGCTTGGTAAATATTTCTAAATAGTTAGGTTTGGGCTTGAATAATATAATAATATAATGGTGTGTATATTTTCCACTGAAATATTCAGCAACAGGTTGCATGTTTGAATGATGATGTATTGCTCAAAAGTGAGAAATAAACAGGAACAGTGCAGAACTAGCTGAGTGAGACAATGAAGTTTTGAAATTACTGAATAAAGTGGCTCTAGTTTCATAAATGATATTATATGGAAGGAAAAAGAAAGGAGGAATATCATTTTTCTTTTAGGCGCTGTCCCTCGTAATTGGTTGGGTCGTGTGCCAAAGAGGCTGGGAAGCAGCCAGTGACCATAAGGAAGCACCAAGTCTAAATCACAAAAATAACCCTCATGACTCTTTTTGGGCTGAGGGAAAGACAGAGTAACAGCACTCCGCGGACTGTGCTTCTCAATCCAACAAGATCCTTGGCCAGTATTACTTTAATTATACAATCTAAATAACTTCTGAACTGAGAGAAGTTGTTTTGTCTTATGTCCTAAAGATCATTTTGATACAAGACAGTGGCATCCACTCAGCTGTGCTCAGTTATTTAAAGGCATGCAAATGTTTTGCTGTTACAGCCTTACTTTGTCTGGTATGTGGCTCACGGTGGCTAATGTTGTAAAACTTGAGATTTTTCCTGTGTGACTCACATTTCTGAGTCATTTTATTTCAGCTCACACTCTCACTCACTCTCAGTCAGTCCAACCTACGGTGGCGTCTTTCAAAAACAACCGATTGAAGAGGAAATGTAGGGTGGGAAACCCAGTGCGCAAACATCCTGTAACTGATTTTGATGTTCAGCAAAAGTTACATAGAAGTAAGAGCTTTACAAGTATTTGGAGATTAAACCTTTCTACCATTTACACAACTGCAACAGACATATGACCTTCCTTCCTCTCACTTGTTTGGATATCTGATTAATTATACTCAGATATTTCTTAAAACAATTGTATTCCTAATAACGGGCTGACAGAAAGAGTATTTATCTCAAAAACATAAGAAAATACTGATAATGTTAGGCTGAAATGAAAGTATGTTTGTCAAACATAAACGGACAAAGAGCACATTTATAAATGTTCATTTATTACAGCCCCAGAGTCTTTATGTGAAATTATTCTATAAACTGACTTTGCATCAATTGTCACTAAGCAACGTACTCCCACTGATGTACCCAGTGTACATTTGCAGTTAACTTTGATAAAGGGTTAGAAAATGTAAAAACTTCTTGAGTTAAACATAGTCCCCTCCTCTAAACCCAGCTGATGACCAAACAGACTGTATTTGTATTTGTATGAGTCAGATAACAAAGCTCATCAAAAGGTTTTTATGATAGTAAGACAAAGTACAAGAACTTCGGACAGTGTTAAAATCACTGCCACCTAAAGAGGTAGAGTCAAACTTTCTCTCAGTCTCTCTCTTTCATGGTGTGTATCATGAACAAATATGCTGAATGCATAATAAATCATCTCTAAAGCCAATTCTTTTATATTTTGAAGCCTGCATATCCTTAGGTGCATGTTGCTTGAGCAAAAGATGCAAACAAAACAACTGCTAGTGGTTAAAGTCTACACAAAGAACCTTTCAGACACTCTCTGGCACCACGTGGATCACAACTTTATAGACTTAAAGCGTTCCTAATCCATGTACTATAACAGTTATAACAAAAATTCATAGCTTCATATGAGAAACAAAGAGATAAAAGGGGCCACAATGGGCCATTTAAAAAGCACTCAGCCGACCTGTGTGATTGGAGAACTGCACAGAGTTGATGGAGTCCACTTCAAAGCCCAGCACCTGAGAACAAGAGTAATAAAGCAGAACAATGACGTCTGAATCTCACTTCAACATGGTGAATTACTGTGAGAGCTTTTTCAATGTGTGTGTGTGTGTAACGCTGGCTTTTTTTATTTTTTTTTACTTTGACATTTCAGTACTGTTGTGAAATTCTCCTGCACTCTCAGGCCATTTCAGTGGACTGTCTGAAAATGAACCCGCAGAGCTCCTGCTGGACCATAAAATAGATCCTTGCTTGAACATTTTGCAGTCTCATAAAATGCAAATATAAGTCCAGCACACACAGAAACACTGACATGGGATAAAGGGATTCAGAATAAATCTCAGATATTTGACTGATGATTGTGGAAATAAAAGGCTGCAGAGTGTGAACTCAAACCCAGAAATCTTGCAGACTTCAGTGTGCTTAGGAACATAAGCTATAATGTAAATAATAAGGTGTAATACTTAGTATGGTGCTTTAATATTCCCTTCTGCAGAATATGACATCAAATCCAACACAGCTCCAACTTTGACAACTGGTTTGAACTCGCTTGCTACCTGTAGCTGCACTTTTTGTTAGTAGCAGGAAATAACTCAAATGTCCTCATGGAAAAAACATTAGACACACATCAGAAGCATATTTTCCACTGAGTTTAGTTGTATTTCTATTTTAGCCTCTTCAGGCGATAGGTGGGTGAATTAAAATACGCGTTAATCGGCCTGTGAGATTTCCTGCAGGGACAGGAAAGGTTCCCGTTACAAGAAACACAAACCAGGAAGTTGCACGCATTATTTTTATGTTTATTTCCCTATTTCCAGCCCGTTATCGGCTCTTTTTGTTGCCTGAACTGGGATGTTGACCTGAGCCAGCTCTTACCTGCAGCGGGAATGTTGCCGACTTGTTCCCAACGTAACCCCTGACAACATGACTCTGGATGGACAACACACGACACTCCATTACCGCGATTACAGCGACTGCCTCTTAGAGACACCGGGCAAGAAACGAGCGGACGTGAAGAGAGTGAAAGTCAGCATGTGAGGAAGAAGTTCAGCATTGAAGGGCAGAAGCGGCGCCGCTGCTTGTGACATTTACCGTTTTTTTTTTCTTCAGGCAGCTGTAAGGGCACCTAAACTGGTGCGTTCACTGGCTCGCAGCGATGGTGGGAGATGCCGCCGTTCATGCCAGATTAAACGTTCTGCTCATACTGTCAATGGTTCATCTCGGTTTTTAGTTTGAATACTGTCTTAAAACAATAATAATTACATAATTACATAATTAAATAATAATCTTTATTTATGAAGCAACTTTAAAAATCGTTTTTTTTTTTTTACAGAGCAAAGCAACCGAACAATAAGAACAATAGCACCATCAGTAACAAAATACATACTAAACAATAGAAAAGGATAAAACAATTTAAAAAAAAATAATAAAACTACAGTGGAATAAAAGGTTAGAAAACAGGAAGGAAAGACTATACTATATTTTCAAACCGTGGCTCTTAAAGTGAACGGCACCTGAACGCAGCATTGTGCACTTCTTTTTAAGGAAACTTCTCATAACCGTTAGTTCTGTCACAAAGATGACGCTGCCCATGATGACTCATAGCCTAGCAACAGTTGACAGTGCAGCCTTGACAACAACACACTGATTGATTGATTGATTGACTGATTGATTGATTGACACATACAGACAGAATCAGTGCTGAATTCAGACCCGCATTGTGCATTGTTTATGTTTTTGTATTGAATTAGGTAATAATGAGTGGGACAGAAGATAAACGTCAATAAAAGATCTGAAAACAAGTAATATAATTATTATTTTAATTGTAGCGAAAACGAGGCCAGTATGAAAATGAGGAATGATTATTACAGCAATGTTCATATTGGCAGCTGGCTAAAAAACGATTTATGTTATTATGTGAAACTGAATATTGATTAATGTTGCATGTACAACACAATAAAGGAATGGATGATTAAATTAATTCTTTTTTTAATACATTTTCAAACAAAAAGTCTTAAAAAATAAAGAAAATTCACGTAATTCTCACAATTAGATTTTCAGAAAGAAGATGTTTTCACAAAAAAATCCGGAAATCACAGACAATATATATAATAATGCTAATTGTTTATCTCATTATCAGCTGTTTTCAAGATTAATTGATAAATCATTAGTGTATAGTAAATAATAAATGTCCAAACTCTCAGATTTCAGCTTCTCAAAGGCAAATATTTAATGTTTTCTTTAGTCCTTTATGATAATAAACTGAATATCTTTGAATACTATAAAGTGCTGAGAGACCACATAACTCAACATTTATTAACAATAATAATAATAATAATAATAATAATGCACTCAGCAATATAAAATGACTGTGACCGTGACTTTGGATTATGACCTGTCAGGAAATATTAAGCTTTTGTATAATGATGAATTGTGTAAACAACAAAACACTTTGTTAGTCCTGACCTCTGAGTTATGGCCACCTATATTCATCATGTGGCGCCATCTATAGGTGTCTTCACATTTAGTGCACATATAAAAAGTGTCCAAGAGAGAGTTTTAGCTAGTCTTTGTTTAAAAAAAAAAACAATTATAAGAAAAGGGCATTGTGTCATTTTTGTTTCTAACAGCTCATTTAACTTTCATTCATAGCCTAATTGTTTTACAAAACAACACATTAATTTAAATGTATTCTCTGGAGCCAAATGTAAAATACTGCGTGTATAGTTTAACCCCTCACCCCTTTTGATCATGTGGTACATTTATTATTATTATTATGACCCACATTCACATTAAATGTAGTCAATATTTTGGTTACCACCAGAGGGAGCAAGACAACAAAGATTTGATTTGTATCTGAAAAAACCCATAATAGAGGATTTAACAATCACCGTATTCCAAGAAAGGGAACTTTTTATAATTAGATTTTAGTTACATATTACTGCAGAGACCACACAAATGTAATAACAATAAATAAAATGCATCTTAAGAATAGATAGGTACTGTGTGTAAAGGACACCCTGCATTATCTCACCAGCACTGGAACCATACTGAATCATCTCAGGCTTTTAATCTTGTTTAAAGTGACAATTAATTCTCAGACTAGCCTTTATAAAAACACACCAACCCTGTAACCAGCATAAAGACCTGTAACTGGACAGTGAGGAGTTTTCTTATTCTGCTGTTGGTGCTGGGGCACTGGGGGGGAGGATGAGGGGAGATCAGGGGGCAGTCAGACACAAGAGGACTGAAAAAGATGCAGGTGAGGGATCGACTGACCACAAAGCACACTGCCCCTGCCATCTGGGTGAGGAGCACAAAGGCCAGATAGAGAACAGCGAGAGCCAGGTGGATGAGCTGAACGCCGAGCTAATCATCACTAAAATACGAGCAGCTGCAGAGAGAGAGAGAGAGAGAGAGAGAGACTTCTGCTACAGACTGAGGGCTTGTGCATTGTTCATAATACTAATACTCTTTTTATTTATATAGCACGTTTCAGGCTTAAACACAAAGTGCTTTCCCGAAAGGATTTACAGTATAAACATTATAAAATGTATTTCAAAATGTTGTTTGACGTATGAAAACTATGAACAATAACCTCAACCAGCAGCACAATCCTGCTTTTACCTGAATGCACCACTAATAATAATAAGGATATAATAGGCTATATAATAGTATAACAGTCCTTTAATTGTAGTACTTTTTCCTTTATATACGTACATATTTGTACTGAAGTAACATTTTAAATACAGGACTTGCACCAGAGTATTTTCCAGTGTGCGATTAGTACTTTTACTTAAAGACCCCTCCAGACATGTATTAAGACATATATATATATATATATATGAATAATATGCTTGGAACAATAATGTTTTTCCCCCCACAAAAAAGTATAATTTCCACATTAAAATCCTTTAAAAAAAGCATCTACTTCTTCTACTTCATTAAAAATAACAACATTTATTAATATACTTCTACTTCACTGTAAAGTCCATTGTCAGTATTTGTGCACTGGTGGTGTCAAGTTTCTACATCACAATTGTGTAAATTGAACACTGATCCAGATTTTCAACGAGCACAGAGAAACTTTCCACTTTCAGCAGATGAATGTGAAAACATCCTTCCAGTTTTAAACTTTTATTCATTCATTTATTGTATTTGTTTGTAGTATAACTTAAAAAAAACTACCATTATACCTGTATTTTATTGTCATTGTATCATTGCATTTTAATTTTTACTCCGTTCTGTCTTATTATCATCTTGTCACTCGTCTGTGAGGCACTTTAAAACACACTAATGTATTAACTGTATGAAATATACTATATAAATAAAGTATCCACCTGTAGGAACAAGAAGAAAGTGAGTGGAGGGGCACTTTAAGTAAAGGGTATAAATACTGCCTCCTGGTATGTAAAGTATGTTAAGTTCAGTTTAAAGATAAGATAAGATAGACTTTATTTATCCCACGCAGGGGAAATTAACTTGTTACAGCAGGCTGCACAGCAGATGAGAAAACAGAAATAAGATGTTCAAGATAAGATAAGATATTCCTTT